CCCTGGCCGGTGTGGCTCAGTTGGTTGGGCATTGTCTTGTGCACCAAAAGGTTGCCAGTTTGATTCCAGGTCAGGGCACATGCCTGGATGTGGGCTTGATCTCAGTAGGGAGCATGTAGCCTATCGATGTTTCTCTCTCTGTAGGCATTCTCCCCCCCACCCCCCTTTTTCATTGAAGGAATTCAGAGTTGGAGAGGCAGATAAACTTCCTGGAGTCACATACCTAGAAAGACATACTGGTATATCTGGTATGTCTGACTCCAGGGCCCATGTTCTCGATCACTACAACCCTGCTCAGAGGACAGTGATTTATCCAAGGTCAAGGTCACTCAACCCAGTGAGACAGTCTGGCTCTCTACCCCAACCCGGCCCACCTGGTAGGAGGCGATGTCGGTTTGATGACGGTCCTCCAGCTCTGAGCGCTGCCTCTCCAGCGAGTCCTTGGTGCTTTTGAGTGCCTCCAGCTCTGTGGTCCTGGCCTGCAACTGGCGCCGGTACTCACTGATCTCCTCCTGTGCTGAGCGCATGGCATCTGTGTTCACCTTGGCTGCCTCTGACAGCCGGTCTAGCCTCACTGAGGGAGGAGACAGCACAGAGTTAGACACACCGGGATGCGTGTCCCAGTGTCCAGCTCCAGAAGGTGACACACATCGGTTGAGGACCTACTGGGAACTGAGTGCCATTCTGGATGCTTAACTCATCCTATCTTGCATGATAGGCAAATGACTACTGCCCAAGGCTGCCCAGCTAGTGAGTGGCAGAGTGGGGATTCAAATCCAGTGTCTATATGGCTCCAAAGATTAGTCTGTCTCCTCGACTCAGGATCCAGAAACCCTACAGGGCAGAGGAAACCCCCATTTCTGGTCCTAATGCCTGGTTCAGTCCCCAGCAGGGGCTGGCAGTGCTGGGGTTCAGATGTGAAACCTGGCTTACCTCTGAACTTGTGGCTCAGAGTTTAACTCTGAACTTCTGGCTGAATAAGCTCAAGAGCCTTTGACCTTTGAAGACATGAGGGTGCTGTGAACCACCGTGTAGCCACAGCCCCTTCCTTGCAGGTTTCTGCTGTGCAGAGAGCCCAAGGTCACCGCAGAGCCTGGGGCCTGGGTGCCAGCCCCTCTGCCCCTTCCCTCCACCTGGCTGCACATTCCGGCACTGGTGCCCCTGAGCCAGCGGCAGCCACGCCGGCCCCTGCAAGCCAAGGGCTGCTGGTTCCCAGGCCCTCCAGGGCCGGTGGAGGTCTAGAGGCTAGTCTACATCTCCTGAAAGTGAACATCCTGAATCTTGAGATAGTGACACCCAGGGCCTGAGTTGGGAGTGTGGGAGGACCAAGGGAAGCCAGCTGGATGGGCCAGAAGCCTGAGCTGGTTTGCTGGTATGAAGGGCAAAGCCGGAGAGAACAGAGGGGTTTGCTCTGGGAGGAGCCTTGCTGCAGAGAAGTGGGGGGGAAAAAACAGAAACAAAAACGGGAAAAGCCTGCATCCAAATCCCAGCTTTCCTGGCTTTCCCTATAATGCTGGCAAAGATTTAGAACCCATCCTGACGGGTGAGGGTTCTTACCCACTGTGGATCACAGACCCGTTTGGGAATCACTGAAACCCCTGCACCCTCTCCCAGGAACAACGCATAAAGTTTTACATTTTGTGGGGGGAGAAGGGGCAGCGGTGGATCATGGAGCTTCCCAGAGTAAGAAGTCCAGGTGGTCCACCCCCATCTTTCCACCCAAATAAATAGAAATGAAAACCAGAGAAAGCAGCGTTGGCCAAGGTCACCCTGCAGCTGCTGGAAACAGCTTCAGAGCGGCTGAGCTGCAATCCTGCTGACTCAGGGCAGCTCGGAGTTGGGGGAGGGCTACGGATTTGGATATGGGAGGCTCCCAGTTTCCCAGGCGAGGGGAGGGGACATTATAGGTCTCAGGTGCCAATGGTTTGTAGTGATGGTCTCCCCTGGGGAGAAAGGATGTGAGAATTCCCCCCTTCTCCCAAAATTAGTAGGGAGGGGCCTGGTAGGGATCAGAAGAATGGAGTCCGTCCCCTGCAATGTCCAGAAAAGGTGGGTGGGCAACGAGGCAGGGAAGGCAAGTTACTTTGAGGGCAAAGAGTCCCCAGCGCTTGTCACTAGACGCCAGCATTGCTTCCGAGCTATAGAGGGGACCTGATGTAAAGGGGCCTCGGAGTGGATTTACGTAACTACAGGGGGCATGGGGGAGACCAGGAGGGCCCCAGAGTTAAAGGGCAAGCACGGGGCCCCTGGAGGAGGGCAGCCAAAGGTGAAGCCATACTTGACGGGGGGGTTGGAGACATCCCACATGAGACCCAGGGGGAAACTGTTCTTTAACTAAGGGTTACGAACTTTGCACGGGGCAGCTGACAGTGGACTCTCTCCAGCCACCTCCACGCAGAGTCCACCAGCGTCCCCCGGTATCACGCCACCCCGCCCCTCGCCGCGGTGGGACCAGCAGGGGGTCCAATGCAAACAAATATGAAGAGGAGGGAGACCCAGAAGCGGCACAGTTGAGCTTTCCGGCGTAACCAGCATCCGCTGCATGACCTCCACCTTC